TTTTTTTTGAAATATTTTCATACATTTATCAGAATTTAATAATAAGGTTATTTTGTTATAGTTAATTTTTTAATAAGATATGAACAAATAAATAATGTACATAATGTAAAAAAAAGTACAATATTTTTAACAATTTATAATAAATAAAATACAAGTATAACATAATAATGAAATAATAATTTTTATTCTAGTTCTTCAACGTCGTTTTCGCTGTCTCCGTCAGTACCGAAATCACTGTCATCAGATGCAAATGTTAAAATCATTGGCTCCGTCAAACTGTCTCTCAATATTTCCTTTTCGTAATCTTCATCTTGAATCTTCTCAGCATATTCAACACATTTCTCCCAGTCACTTTTTGATACCGAATCCAACGCCTCATTTGTAAGTCTTTCGACGTCCACCATTTTAAAAGTGTTATTTTTTTTTGCCACTTCACTTTTGACTTGCGCCCATATGAGTTCGATAGGGTTGTACTGGCAGTGATACGGTGGTAGCCGAATTACTTCATGGCCCATCGAACACGCGATTTCGTCTAACTCGTACCTTTTAAACGACGGTATTAACAATTTAAGTCGTTCACGCAATTCAGCTAATGTTTCTAGTGGTGAAAAATTAACGCCTTGATTTTTCAGCCAATTCTGCACATCAGCTTTTCGAGCATTACATTTTGGGTAATTATTAATATACATGGAATGATATGGTGCGTTATCCATGATAATAACGCATGGTTCGGGAAGTAGCTTTAACATATCTACAAACCATACTTTAAAAACATCGGCGTTCATTGATGAATGATAGTCAATAGAATTTTTCGCTTGACATTTAAAAACTAATTTTGACCCTTCTATGAACCCGTATCGAGATGACCCAGCGTGTGTAATAATTAGACAACCTTCTTTACCGATTGGTACTTTTAACCCTTCTGTTCCTTCGTTATTTTGCCAAATATGAGATCGTGAATGATTCTGATTTACCCAGGTTTCATCTAGGTAAATCACTGGTCGACAATCTTTCATTTATCGAAGTGTACAAATGTTACGTAAAAATTTACAACGTAAAGCAACAATATAATTTCGTTCCAATAGCATTTTTCGACTATCATTACATTTTTTAAATGAAAAATTCAAGTTTTTTAATAGCCTTCTGACCGATCTAACGGATCCTTCATAATTTGGAATTTTTTTTTTAAGGTGGTTTAAGATTAATAAAGCAGTTGGATATTCACCTTAATCGTAAAACGAATGTACCGTTCGACGAACTACGTCAGCATCAAAATCATCCATTTCCGTACATTTCTTTTGACGCTTATATAATTTTCGTGGAGATTTATAAGATGGTCTTTCCTCAACATCCTGTTCCGTAGATTTTTTGGCTTCTACACATATACGCCTCAGCGTTATATATGAAACGCCACAAGCTTCAGCAGCGACTTTTTGGCTACTTTTGAAAAAGTCTTGTGTCAAATCTTTTTTCTCCGACAGCATTTTAATAAAATTATAAACATTATAAATTATTTTTTTGCTCTGGCTATGAGTGTCACGATCTTTAAACGACATTTTATATATAAAAAAACGGTTTATAAAATAAAAATATTCATAATTTATAAAAACGTGGCACGCACAAAATGTATGTTTACTATAGCACAGTGTACAAACGACAGAGCAGACAAAACATTGTACGACTGTACAACTGTGCCTGCAGTTCCCCCTCTAATATTTAATGTCTATTTTTTTATAAGGGATGTAAGGAATACAAAAGAATTGAAAAAAACTACTGCTGGCCTACCCTATAAAACCGGTTATGGCTCATTATTCGTGCCCGTGAATACGTACGTAACGGCAGCGTGACGGTACAAAGTTGAGAACCAATGGCTACATGAGTGGGTACGAATAACGGCTCGCGGGTGCCAATGCTCATTTTTCGTGTTCCCGACTATAAGCGCTCCATTAAAAATTTGCGCCCGTCATTACACTTCTTAAACGCTAACAAATTTTTGTTTCATATTTTGTATATTATTGCAAAAAATTAAACTTTATGGTCATACAATACAGTTTAGAATATAAGTAAAATATAATAAAAACAAATATGTTGTACACATATCATAAATATAATACAATACATAATACAAAACAATTATACAATGCAATACATATAATGTAAGTATAATGAATGTTTCATCAAAAATAATTATTTTGTGTGTGGTATATCTCAAAACATGGAGCTGGACACAATCCAACACATTACATTTCACACACATGTATGTTGTATCTTTCCTCTTGTTATTTTTATTTTAACACGCGTCCGCAGTAATTTTTTGAGTCTGTTTAAGACCTCGTCATCTAAAGTAGCCAGATTTTTTAAATAATTGTACACATTAAAAATAACTTTTTTGGTTTGACTACGATTGTCATTGTTTTTAAAAGGCATTTTAACGTTAAATAATTTAAAATAAGTATTAATTGAACAAACTATGTATTGTTATAACACCAAAAGCAGACCGAATATTGTATCACTGTTAACTAAACACGTGCGTTCACTATGTCGAGCTCACGAGGAATGACAATTGTAATGTTAAACACAATGTAGGGTCTGCCTTTAAAAAAAGGTAGAGTAGCAGCTGCTAACATAAAAGGAATGTCTATTGAATATGGTTCCGCCAAAACGAATCATGGATCATGAGATGGCAAGCGGTAGGTAAATAGTACAAAACGGAGAACCCCTGGATTCAACAACATTTGGACACCATCCATCGACATGGAACGTTCACTTTTCGTGAGCCGGACTGTAGTTCGTTACATGATATATTTGTTCTTGACCAATAATTATCGATCCCATTCCATCGTTGATCGTAGTTTGATAGGTTAACCCTTCAATGCCCAATTTTTTTAATTTTAAATTTCTAAATTTTTTTTTAATCATTAAAACACGAGGAAATTGGGAAAAATAAGTAAAAAAAATCAAAACATGAAACTTTTTTATTAAACTTAAACTTGAACTATGTAGCATATATGCAACAGTGGGTCATAATAAGTCAACATTTTAATATTTACATATGATAATTAGTAAAACAATTTTTGTTACGGTTTAAACATAAAAACACAGTACATTTTGTACATTTTAAGTAAGTAAAACCTTTGCATGAAGGCATTTTACATCTTTCCCGTTTGTCCGTAATCTGAGGCCAGTGGTCAAACTTATCAGTACGCACTTCTTTAATGGGGCGGAATGACTGTGGTCTTGTACTAGCAATTTTTACTTCTAAAGAACTTGATGGTCGTCCACGTCCACTTGTCCTGATTTGTCCCGATTGGATTAATGTAAATGCTAATTGTTTTCTCCAATCAGCCAATTCTATGTTTGAATTTTCTTTTTTTATTTCTTTAACTCTTTTAAAGAGCGTCCACGAGTTTACAACCGTAAGATCAATTAAATGGTAAAATAAACGCATATACCATTTGCGAGAACGAAAACGAATCTTATATCGGCCAATATGGCTATCTAAGAGATCAACTCCCCCCATGTGCTTATTATACTCTTTTATAAGCATCGGGCAATCAATAATAATATTTGATTTTTTTATACGGTCAAATCTGGTCATTTCGGATTTTGGAATTTCTCCACAGTATGTTGATACTAACTTGACTGCCTTGTTATCTTTCCATGTCACTGCAGATATTGGTGCGGACTTATAAGATGTAATATATTCAATTGAATCTCCTCTTTTCATTTTTTTTTTCTTGATTTTTATCTGGTAAAGGACAGTTAGGAAGTCGATTAAGTCTCACTGTACCTAAACTATATATATTTTTGTTGTACAAGTATTCCATCATCGGTATAGCAGTGTAATAGTTGTCGAAATATATTTTATGGTTGCTGTTGACTGGTACATTTCTTGTTAATCGTATCACCACATTTGATGACGCTCCAAAATCTGGTTCAGTTGTTTTTCTAAATATTGGATTGTTTTCTTGGCCCGAGTAAATTTCGAAACGATAAGCATATCCCTGTGTATCTGTCAAAATAAATAGTTTAAATCCCCATTTGTGTGGTTTATCTGGTAGATACTGCTTCATATAACTTTTAGCTTTAGTAGCACATAACTGTTCGTCTAATGATAAAGTTTCTTTACAAGGAATAGACGAAAAGCGATTATTTAAATGATCAATTATAGGTCTCAATTTATGAAGACGATCGTGGTTCGGGTTATTTGGCAATAACATTATTGCATTATTATTGAAATGTAATACACTTTTTATAAGCTCAAATCTATTACGACTCATAGTATTATATATCAAAGGAAAGCCTAAATCAACCGACCAATAGTCCCTGATTTTTGGCACATGCAGCACAGAAGCATAAATGCAAATGCCCAAATACCTTTTTATTTCATCAATACTTAGTGTGACTGGTTTATTGGGATTTAATTGAACTGAATACAATTCAGTTTCTTCTTTTATTTTAATCAAAAGCTCAGTGTTGAAAAAGTAAGCAAAGAAGTCAAGCGGTGTTTCAAGCGAAAGCAAATCATTATGAAGCGTAGGTTCATTAAATTTTAAACATGCAGAGGGTGTGATCAAATTACCTTTTTTCCATTTTAAATTTGTCAATTCAATATTTTTTTCTTTTGGTCTTGAATGGGATTGATTGGTAGTATTGCTAGTACTTTCTGTTGGTGAGGAAAATGCCTGTCTTATACTGCGTCTAGGTGTTGTGTTTTGGTTTTGATAAGTCAAATTTGATTTCGAATCTGAAGGTAGAATTAATGTTTCACCAGTGTCAAACTGCATTTCCACAGGCAAATCCAATAAGTCAAAACTCACTAAAAAATTATAAAATTTGTATGAATTATATATTTTTTTTAAATTTTTGTTTTGTTCTAGTTGTTAAAATAATAATTAATTTACCTTCATCATTTACATTAGTAGGATAATCAACATGTTCAGGTATTTGTACATTGTTAAGGTCTTGTTCGTGATCAGAATTATCTAAACCATCTTCACTGTCTGACCAATTTGTGTTAAAAAGGATCTGTAATAGTTCTTCGTCGTTGAGTTTATTACGATTCATATCGTTACCTTCTTGCCCACTGTAGCAAATATGCAACATGATTAAAATGTATTGTAATTCATAAAAAAATGAATAAAATGTATGGTTCTTTACTTAAATAGAATCTATAAGACTTACCTGAATACGTAGAATTTTTGTTTGACGAATAAATTAGTATTTAAGACACAAAAAAACTTAAAAAAAAAAGCTCGCAACGGTTGTTTTGATGATATGATAAGAAAACATTTTTTGGCGGGAAACTAAGCAATGGTTATCAACTAAATCACTATTGTGTTTATAACAGCTGATAGGTAGTTATTTCTTAAACAAATAGAGAGCACTACCTAATTAAAAAATATTATATTTCATATAATATAATTTAATTTGAAACATGTTGCATTTCTGCTACAATGGGCACTGAAGGGTTAATAAAAGTGGTCAAGTCCCAATGAGATGTAATTATGTTCACTAACCCTCGGTTTTCATAATAAAGTCCGGGTGGTTGTAAAAGTTTGTCATCACTATAACGGGTCACTGTTGTCGCAAAAGTCAACAGAGGTAAGGTAAGGAAAATTCTGAAAAAATACATATATATATATATATATATATATATATATATAATATATATTAAAAGAACTCAATGAGTTTTCTGTAAGTAATTTTCCTTAACAATTTGTCAAATAAACATTTTAATAAGGCTTCATCTGAAACAAGGTCGTGCGCATGTGTAAATGTTATGATTTCGTTTACAGACAATCATATGCGTTTCCGTTAGATTTAACATCTGGCCTGTTTTTTGTACGTAACCTAAAGCGATTTCACAAAGTATTTGCGTATTTAAAAGTAATTGTAAAAAGAAATGTTGTGATTGATTTGAGGCATACGCGAGCCATATCGAGTGTCCGGCAATTTATATCTAAGCGATTTAATATGGTCTGATCCGTACTACCGTTCCAAAAGACCATGATAG